TCTGTATAGTTACCATACTACCTGGCAATACCAGTCCTAGGTACTTATTCAGGAGAAATGAATACATATGTTTGTATGAAAACTTGTTTGTGAATATTTGTAGTGACTTTTCCCATAATTGCTGCAAACTAGAGTAATCCTAATGACCTTTGACTATGAAGTGAATAAAAAAACCCGAAAAACTGTGGTGCATCTATTCGATGGAACACTATTCAGCATCCAAAAGGAACACACTTTTGATACATTAGGTGAATATCAAATGCATCGTGTTACATGAAACACAGCAGATTCAAAGCTGTGGGCTACACGGTCCCATTTTTATGGCACTAAGAAAAGGTTAAATTCTAGGGACTGGGAACCAATCAGTAGTGGCCAGAGTTGGAGGTAGAGAGAGAAGGTAGCTACAAAGGGACAGGGAAATTTTTGGGAGTGACGGAAATGCTCTATACATCAATTGTGGTACCGTTTACTCGACGGTGCATTTGTCAAAACTTAGAACCACGTACTCAAAAAGGCGAATCTTACTGTATGCAAATGACACCTTAATAAACCTGATGTTGAAACAAAGCAGATGGCTTGAAAAATGTTCTGTCAATCAGACTTCCATTTATCCCTTTAATTCAGTAATATTCTCCTTGACTCCAATTAATACAGCCAAAGACTCACTTTGATTAACCTTGCTTTGCATGACTACGGATGTTATGAAATAGCTCATACATCCAAATGCTTGTTTTAACCTCTGCTCGTGGAGGTGTTAACCACTAATATAACTGAGAGTTCTGAGCTCTTCTCAGCTTGACTACAGCCACCTTGTGATTACGCAAACGGCGGACAGGGAGATGAACCAAGAAGAGGATGAAACAAAACTCAGCTGCCCCAGGGAAGTGCCGGGCAGGTGAGCAGGGGCAGAGAGGACCTGAGTTAGAGGTTGGTGACTTGTCCCTGTGCAAAGCAAGGACACAGGGACACCCTGCTCATCTTTGGCACAAGGCAGCCATACAGGAGTGTGCGTCCAAGTTTGGCAGAGTATATGCACTTTTAGAGAAATTGGAAGTCTTGATTTTTCTCATTTTTTAGAATAAAGGAGGACATTTACTTGATCATCTCAGCAGACACAAAAAAGCATTTGACAACATTCTATATGCAACTCCTAGCAAACTAGGACATACATCTTTTTAAAAAATTGGTAGATGAAAATTATATACAGTTGTAGAGTACAACATGATAGTTTGATATATGTAGGCATTGTGCAAATCCTCATTTTTTTTTTATATGTGAACTTTCCCAATTTTTAAATGTTGGGCACCTATTCACCTTTTTAAAGACTGTGTGGACAAAACAGTACTTTGTCTGAAGGTCATGGAGTTTGCAAGCACTAGTCAAAAATGTGGGGGTACAGAAGACAGAACCAGGACAAATTCAGATCTGATGGTTTAGCAGGGTGGTTTACAAGATGCTGAAATAACCACTAAAAAGCAGAAACAGAGTGGGGACTTTCGGCTTGAGGAACAGGAAAGGATGGATGAAAAGAAAACCTACGTGCATGTGGGCCAAGTGTACGGGGTGTACACGGTGTCAGTGTACACAGTGTCAGTGTACGCAGGGAATGGCCTAAGCATCACTCCTCCTATGAGCATGACACCTCTCTGCCCTGGCAACCTGCTCCCACTCATCTTCCCCACAACAGCCCTCAAATCCATCATCAGAAACCCAAAATCTCCAAAGCACTGTCATTCCAAAGGTTTTGTTGTTTATATTTAATTCATTCGGAGTCCAGCCCTGACCTGAAGTGAAATGAAGTCATTATAGGTCTTTATTATTCTCCTTTATGCAAATACTCACACTTTTCATGCAAAATTACCAATGTATGCAATTACAGGATGCAACTCTAGACCAAGATACAGTATGTGCATATGACTCTGTGCCTCTCTCCATCCATCCATCCATCCATCCATCCATCCATCCATCCATCCATCCATCCATCCATCTATCCTGCCATTCAAAGATCTCAATAATACTGAATGTTGAAATATATTTGGCTCCACAGGTTTCAGAAAAGAGATCGTGGTCCTGTATGACCTTTCCAGGGGTCGTGGGGGGCGGTCCCATAAGTAACTTACAACCATCACTAAACTTCTAAGGGCATCTGAGCCCAGCACCAACCTTCCATTTGTTTACACCGGAACACTTCATCAACCTCTAACTCAAGGATATTATGCCTGCCCAGCCTCAGCCCATGTCTTAAATCTTAGGAAAAGATTCCCTTCTTTCAATGCCCTGTCCTACTTATGGAACCTCCCAAGAATAATTATGTCTTTTTCAAACCCTGACAAATTGCAAAGCCTCTAAATCCACAGTCAAAAATAAACATACAATTGGTATTAAAAATTAATCAGTGGTTTCAAGGATTCCAGAAATCAGCACTTAAATCCTTGTGCAGGAAGAATCAGAGAGGGTTTTTTTTTTCCTTTTCATTTTTAAAGATAGCAGAAATGTGCACAAGAGTCAGAAGACCTTCCTCTTCTGTGAGCTATTTTATGAGGCACACATTGGAATCATGGAGGAACCAGAGGTGGGGGAGAAGGAATGAACGGCTGCTTTTAATCATAAGAAACAAACCAAAAAAAAATATTTTACAGCTAATGAGTTGCAGACCCTAAGACACCCCAAACTATGTGGCGAACTTTGCAAGGCAAAAAGTAAGGAGAGAAAACCTTACCAAATTGTACTAAGGGGCCAGGGCAGGGGTGGTTTTGGGCAGGGGTGGTTTTGGGCAGGGGTGGTTTTGGGCAGGGGCGAGGCTTCCCTGTACCCATCCTCTTCTCCACTGCCCCGAGCCGTGTAAACGGCATCCTCAAAACAAGTCACAGCTCTGCTCCCCAACCACACTGCTGCCCCCAGCAGGGTCTACATGGATGTTTGCAATAGCCACACACCAAATCAAAAGCAAAATCCTCTAGATGGTGTGGGTGCACACACGCACACACACGCGCACACACGCGCACACACACGCACACACACGCACACACACGCACGCGCACACACACGCACACACACGCGCGCACACACGCGCACACACACGCGCACACACGCACACGCACACGCACACACACGCACACACGCACACTCACGCGCACACACATGCACACACACGCACACACACGCACGCGCACACACACGCACACACACGCGCGCACACACGCGCACACACACGCGCACACACGCACACACACGCGCACACACGCGCACACACACGCACACACACACGCGTGCACGCACACACACACAGGCAGTGTGAGCTTCAGTTAAGAAAAGCCCACAGCTTGCCTTACACAAGGCACCCAGAGTGCTCTCCAGGACACGTGGAGAAACCTGAAGGCGGTCTGCCCCCCTCCATCAGCGGGGCACCAACTTCCTTGACAAAGTGCTCTACCTGCTCAATCATTCTATCCTCAAAACCTTCTGCGAGGGGAGGTTAGGAAGGGAATTTCTGAATTGCCACTTTGCATCTAGGGCAATTGAGTCCTAGAAATGCTTGAACCTGGAGCTGATCAATAGCAGGATTTGGGCACCAGGGTCTTAGGTGTTTGTCCTTTTCAATAACACAGAAACGCGCTCCCCACCCCCACCTCCACACACACTCCTGTTTACCCGACGCTCGTGGAAGAAAGGGACGCCCTGTGGAACACAGCAAACTTGTCCAGTTCTTGTGTCTGGGAAACTGCAGCCTCCAGGAAAGTAGATTTTTCTGGAATTTCAGACAGTGCGTAATGACTTTTGAAATGCCAACGCTACTTTTTTTTAACATCGATCGATCGGCGACTTGTCTGCCCCAGTGCCCGTCTGGCCCAGAGCCTCCTCCGAGCGTTAGGCGGGAGAGAGGTCACGATGCCCATCCGAGTGGGTTCGAGGCTTGTCTGCCGGGTGCCTCGGGCTGGGACGGAACCGCGGCGCTGCGCAAACGCAGAGGACACGCTGGTGCACACCTCGTTTTAACCAAATGGACCCGAGACCTCCCCCGGGGCGCGGGCAGCGGGAAAGTGGCGCTCTCCTTTTTCTAGGGGCTGACCGCACCGGAGACTCCAGGCAGCTGCCATCCGTGGCAGAGCGCAGGCCTCGCCCCCCGCCTGCCCCGCGGCCATGCGCGCCCGTGCCCAGCTGCTCCTGGGGCTCGGGGACCCCCCTCTCCCCGCCCCTCCCGCCGCCGAGTCCTCGCGGCCACCCGGTCCCGCACGCGCGTAATAACAATAATAATGGTCGTAATAATAACAAGGCTACCTCCTGTGGGCCCGTTAGCTGGTTGAAATCTCTCCAGCCTGGGGCGGAGCGGTCTTTCCCAGGGCAGAGACGAGGACACCGAGGCGAAAGAGCTCCCAGACAGGACGGCCGGCGGGCCAGCCCCGACCGCGAGAGGCGCGCCCGCCGCCCCGCCCGCGCTCCCCAACCACACCCGGACGAACGTAGGGTGCCCGGAGACAGCCCGGGTTTCTGCCCATCTGGGGCCCCTAGTGAGCCGCGCGAGGAGTGCGTGCTCCTCTGTGGACCAACAGAGGTTCCTGGGACCCCGTGGTGGCGGAAAGGGGACGCGAAGGACCTGGTCTCCCCGACTGGATGCCCAGTCCCCCAGCCTGAGCTGCGGACGGGGAGCGCGCAGGTGAGAGGCAGGGGGCGCAGAGAGCAGGGCCCCCTCCCCCGACTGTCGCCTCCACCGCGCGGCGCTGTGGGGCTGGGGGCAGATGCCTGCGGGACAAGCACAGTGTCCGCGGCCACGCCCCCCCTCGCCCCCAGGTAGCCTGGGTCTGGAGGGGTCGGGGCAGGGGATTTGGAGATCCTGCCTCCTAGAAGAGGGGCCGCACGGCGCCCCTCAGAGGCCGTGTTGCCCGGACCGGCGCCCTCAGCAGGATCCCCCAGACACCCCCACGTTCCGGGTCCCCTCAGCCCGAGCTCACCGGGACACGGGGGAACTTCGCGAGCGCCACCCGCGCCCGCCCGGGCCTTACCTTTGCCCAGCAGCGCGCCCAGCACCAGGCTCAGCGCCCCGCACAGCGGCGCCGCCGGGCCGGGGGCCGCGCCCTCGGAGCGCATCCTGCGTCCCGGCCGCTCACGCCGCCCGCCGCCGCCGGGGCGCAGCGCCGCCCGCGGCCCTCGCCGCTGCCCCATGCCCGGCGGCGCCCGCAGCCGAGTCGGCCCGGGCCGCTGCGCTCCGCCGTCGGCCGGCCCTGGGGCCGCACCGCCGCTCCGGCTGCGGCTCCGGCTCCCGCGCTGCCGGCGCTCCGGCCGGGACAACTTTTCTTCAGAAGCCGCGCCGCGCGCCGCTGGCCGCCCCGGCCCGCCCCGCCCCCTCCGGGCCCCGCCCGCCCGCCCCCTCGCGCCGCACCCCCGCCGCGCCGGCCGGAGACCCGCGGAGGGCGCGGGAGGGAGCGCGCCTGAGGCTCCCGCCCCAGAGCTCTGCCAGGTGCGCGCCGCTCCTCGCACAGTGGACCCTTCCCCGGATCCCGGGGTCCCGGCGGGGCCTGGTGGTCGTCACTCCCCTTTCCTCAACTTCGGGTGGTGCCTTGCGTTAGCCTGGAGGGCTGGGGACGTCTGGAATTCCAGGCCCCTTGCAGCTGCGGCGCGCAGATCAGATCGCGGGTTAGACCGTGGAGTGGGAAACAGCACGGCGAGGAGCGCCAGGGACACGGGGTCCGCAGATGCGTGCGTGCACCGGTGCGTGTGTGGTGGGGCAACGCACGAGGCAACAGCGGTCTCTGGAAGGGGACTAGGACGCAGGGTGAAAGAAAGGCTTATTTTTCACTGCATGTCTTTATAGCGTTGCCCCCGCGCCCCCCGTGTATTTTTATTAGCTATTCAGGGGAAGGCACCGTTCCCCACTCCCAGACTTGCTCCCGCAGCCGCAGTTTCTCTGCAGAGCCAGACAGGGAAGACCTGTGCTTCCCATCCACTCCTGTCCTGTACCTCCTCTCTCCATGTCCCCAGCGCTGCCCTCCTCCCCCCGCGGATCCCACTGCCTCCCTGCGCCGTGGCCCCTTCTGCCATGAGAGGTGCTGAGCTATCTGCGCGCAGGCCTGGACTCCCTCTCGTGTCTGGCAGTGAAAGGCGATTGGTCCGAGGAGGCCTCCACCCGCCTCCCAACCACCCCTCTTTGCAGATCCTGGGGGGTCCCCTCCTGTCCTGGGCCTCTCACAGACAGGGCTCAGCGCCCTGCTCTCCCCCCCTCCAGGCTGGATCAGTCCCACGTCAGGAAGAGGCTTGCCTGGGTCTCCTCTCACCATCAGTCCAGGAAAGAATTTTAAAAGAAAAGGAAAAAGAAATCCTCCAAACACTGCAAACCCAAACCTCATCCCGCATCTCAGCCCCAGGGGGAAGATGGACACTGGTTCTCCTAGACACCTCCACCGGCCTGTTGCCGGAGAAAGCAGCCGGTAGAGTAGCCAGGCCCAAAAGGTGGCTGCAAACGTCTGGTTCTGACAGTCCCGGATAGCAGAGACTGGATTTTTTTTTTAAGTGGATTGTACAATAATCAGAACTGGGCGGACAATTGCCCAGTTCTTCAGTTCATTCTGCTGGTGTAGACACAGTGTTGGGTGGCGGGGTTAGTCGTAAGGTGGGCTTGGGCCCCCACATTTTCTTCTCCTAGTTTGCAGCCTGGAAGTCAGCCGAGAATGAATGTTGTTCATTGCAATGTTCATAGCCTCCTGCCACAGGGAAGAAATGCACCACCCTCCACTCTCCTGCCCTGCTCGCAGGCTCCCAAAGCGCGCCTTCCCTGCATGTCATTCCTTTCCAGCCGTCACAAAGCTTTGCTCTCCCCATGGCAGAGACAAGTGCCCATCCAGGGCTAGGTCTCTAGGGTGCAAATATTCAAAACAGGGCGGTATGGAACCAGCCACACCAAAATACAGATCTGTGCAAACAGAGGGTCCTAGGCAGGCCACTTCACAGCACCCCACAGAGGTCCTCTGTCTTCATATGTTCCTGAATCTCAAATGTCCCCCGAGACCGTGATGTCTGCAGGACCCTTCCTTCCTAGTCCCTCTAGAATGTCCAAAACCAGACCTAGGAGAAGGGGGCTTCTCTTCTGCAAACCTTAATTTGGGACCCCATCTAATCTAGCGTGTGCCCTGCTAAAAAGTCAGCCAAACAAGCACGCAAAACTGAACAAGGGATGCGTATAGTCTAGTTAGGCAAATCCACCAAAATGGAGGTGTGAACGCAGAGGTTCATGGGCCAATAAAGTTTGCTGTATTTATTTATTTTTTAAAGTCGTGTATTATTTAACCCCGAAATCATTAATTCCTTAACTTAAATTGCTTCCAGATGCTTTCCTGAATTTCATAAGGAACATCAGAGACAGCTAATCTCCTCAAAGGCTATTGCAAAACTCCCTCCGGGCTGTGGCGCCTGGATGCAATGAACATAATTTACCGGCCAGGAGAGTTACTGGAAAGAGAAACCTGCTGCTTCCACATCTGCTCGGGGTTCCCAAGTCAACCAGGCAACTGCAGAGTTCACTTTTTTTTTCTTCCTTTGGTCATACATAATTTCCAAATTGTTACTATCATGTAAAACGCGGAGTGCAACTTGTGAATTTAGCTCAGAAACTTCTTGCACTGTCTGCCTCCAGGACAAGAACCTATGGGGTATATATTCCATCAATGAGGACATGGAAAAGAAGGGCTATATATTGTCCTCATAAAGCAGCTATGGTCATCCTGCAAATCCAACGTCATGTCTCGACTATGGTGCTTACTGTTACAGGTTAAAAATAAAGAAGGAAGAAAGATGGAAGAAAGGTCTATGCCTAGCACTCTGCACTGGTGTTGTTCTTAATGTTGCAGACACCATGCCATTTAATCCTCATTACACTCACGGGGTGTAGCATTATTGTCCTTAGACATTTCATCCATTCGTTCAACAAATATTTGTCACTTGCTTACCATCTGTCAGGCCCGGGTTCTGGGGTTCTAGCAGTGACAAAGGTCGAAACAGACAAAAGTCCTAAACTCAGGGATCTTACCTTCTAGTGGAGGACACAGACTCTAAAGAAATGATTGGGGTGGAGGGTGCCACATTGGGGAGGGTAGGTGAAAGAGAAGGTGAGCACACAGATTTCTGGAGAAAGAGTTTCTCAGGCTTCAAAAACCCAATAATGCGAGGTCAGAAGCTGGAGACCTGAAGGACCTTATTTTTCTCCCCGAAGGATCACTCTGGCCACTTGTAGGGTACATGAGGGGGGCAGCCCCGGGAAGCCTGGAATCCGAGTAAGAGCTGACTCAAGGCACCCAGGCGTCCCAGAGGCGTCCGAGGACTGGGGTAGGAGCGGCACTCTGGAGGCGTGGGCCCAGGTAAGGATGCCTAGGCAAGGTGGAGTCTGCAGAACCTGGGGAGGGAGCCGTGTGGCTAGCGGGAGGGGAAGAAGGCCCAGGGTTTTGGTGCAAACAGCTGAGCACCTGAGGGTGCCCATTACGGAGGTGGGGAGGACTGCGGTGCAGGTGGGTGCATTGGCACCGATGGGGAAACCAGAGCTGACAGAGGAGGTCGAGCCCCTCGCCAGCACCTGACAGCACAGACATTACAAGTCGGCTGTCTGCCTGCCGCAGAAGCACACACCTGAACACAGATCCGGCGTGGGAATGGTTGTGAATGTAGACTCTAAAACCTGATGGTGCAGATTCAGTCCCAGCTCTACCACTCCCTACCTGGGGGACCTGGAACAAGCCTGTCTTCTTGACAGCTGAAGTTAAAATTCAGTATTGCATTGGTATGCACCATAAGCCCTACATCATATCCTTTTAAAAAAATAAATTAAAATATTTGTTATTCTTAATTGTGACAGAATTAAATCTTTTCTCAAAATATTAAGGGGGTACAAGTGTTTCTGTTACACGGATGAAATGTCAAAGTCAGGAATTTTAGTGTGCCCGTCACCAGAACAGCATGCATTGTACCTGATAGGTAAGCTTTCTTTTTTTTTTTTTTTTTTTTTAATTTCAAAATGTCACAGAGGTACAGATGTTTTTGTTACGTGGATAGCTTTCGCAATGCTCGAGTCAGGGCTGCCAGTGTGCCCATCACCCGGATGGTGTTCATTGTACCCGTCAGGTGGGCTTTTGCCCCTCCCCTCCCCCCTGCTTGATTTCCCATGCCTTTCGCTTCCCTCTGTGCCCGTAGGTTAGTTCCAATTTATTAGAAGTGCCTGTGGTGTTTGTTTTTCCATTCTTGAGATACTTCACTTAGGATAATGGTCTCTAGCTCCATCCCATTTGGGGCAAAAGACATTAATTCATTTCCTTTTATGGCTGAGTAGTACTCCCTTGTATATTTTGGGTCAATCCACTCGTGAATTGATGGGCACTAGGGTTGACCCCACATCTTTGCGGCTGTGAGTGGCGGTGCAATTCTGTCTCACAATTAAACTCCAGGTCTGTGTCTGGCTAAGGTGGAGGCGGGGAGGGGGGAGTGGCACGAGGAAACGATCTGTCCTTCCTCCCTCCCTGTGGGCGTGCGGACAAAGATTCCACCTTTGTGTCATCCAGTGAAAATAAACGTGGGGGATATTTACTGGGGGCCAGTCGCTGCTGCCCCTGTTCCTTCCCGTGCTTACGTGCTTAGTGTGCACATCGCGTCAGCTCTGCCAGGGAGGATGTCCGAGGATGTCGCCGTACTGCACGTATGTGCAGGAAGAGAAACCCTGGTCCAAACCCGGGGATCAATAGCCCTCTTTTACCAACGAGGGGTCTGGAAGTCACACATTTTACCTTTAGTTCATTTAGCCAGTAATAGGGAGGATGATGGCCGTTGACATTTATTAGGTACTTGCTAATTGCCCAGTAACCCTGTTAACAACCATTTGTATCCTCTCATCCGTCCGCAGTCTACGGACAAGGAAAACCGGCATTAAAGAGGTGAAGTGGCTTGTTCAAGGTCGCCCGGGCAGGGAGTGGTAGAACTGGGACTGAATCTGCACCATCTGGCTTAAGAATCTGCATGCACAACCATTCCCACGCCTGATCTCAGGTGTTCGGGTGTGTGCTCAGGTGTGTCCGGTTCCTCTTACCTACGCCAGGTGTCTGGGTAAGCTGTGTCAGGTCTCCCTTGCTAGGTCCCTCTTTGTGTCAGGTTTAACTTGCTAGACCTTTCCATTTGGAATTGCCACTGTA